GTAAGAATATTTTCCCCGTTGCGAGAAAAAATATAACATTTATTTTCTCCTTCTTTGCGCTATCAATGCATCAATAATCTCCATCCATCATTTCGGGAAGTTTAAATAGGCAAATAAGGCGCTACTTTGTCTGTCAAGCCCGTGATTATGTCAGTGACATCACCGACAGCATTAAATGTTTGGGATCGCACGAGTGACCGCGTGTCGTTATCTGTATTGCAAAAGCAGCGCACGATTATAAAGAAGCACTACATGAGCGGAGAAAAGAGAGAGAGAGAGAGAGAAAAAAGAGAAAGAGAGAGAAATACAGTGGAAAGTGCCGTTATGATCGAATGACATGCAAACACCCAAGAAATAAAGGAGAAAAAAAGAGCGAAAAGGTTGAGCCTCCTCTTCGCCTCCCCTATCATATCGCGACAGCTCCAGATTGACGGACGAATGTATGCACACCAACATTACATACCTATCTCGAAAGCGGACTTTTATCAGCGCGTGTAACGTGCATCGGCTCGGTCTCCCGCGAAGTGTGTACATAATAACGTTGACATATCGCGGTTAACAACACGAGTACATATACGGAGTGAGAGAAACGGAATACAAGATAAAATAATTAAGATTCCGTATAATCTGTAATATAGCACGACGGAGACCTTGGAGGGAGCGATACCGTTACGTAAAATAGCGCTCGAAATTAACGGTAAATAATTGCAGATAATAATTCATCGAGGATTTCGAAATAATAATATTAAAAGAGAATTGTGAGGATGAAGAGAGAGCACGTGTAAATTTAACGGGTTGAATTTCACTCCAGATAATTTTTATTTTCGCCGATATTTATACGATTATTTTCACGCAAGTTTGCGAGACGTAAAATCCGTCCAGTTAATTAATGTACGACAAAGGAATCGCGCCGATTAATATGAATCGTTGTGAAATCGGCTATACGCGATATCGTCTATAATTGCGTTTCTTCGAAGAATAAACGTATTGTGTAATAAAACATATGCAAAGTATTAATTTTGAATATAATTTATGTTATAGTTGTTTACGTTCATCTATATTCTCTTTGTATAATTATACGTATGGCCAGTGACAAAAAGACATAAGTAATTTACACGTTATTATCGGTTTTTTTAATTTTCCACAAAACAAGCGCTAAGTCATTTTATTGAAAAAAATACCATATTTTTATATTTAGGCGTTCTGGAAAAAAACATGGTGAATCTCTCTCTCTCTCTCTCTGTGTCATATATTTATAATAATTATATTTGTTAGTAACATATATATCTATGAGGAATTATACCAAATTGTTTACTTCCCGCAATTTATTGTTATAACACATCTTATACGTGTAAGAGAGAATACTTTGTCGCATCGCTAGATACGATCACGATTTCGACGTTACGAGTCCGTTATTGTGATTGATAATTTCTTAGTTATTTCTTGCAATGCAATACAAATATCGTAAATTCGTAAAAAAACACATAAGAGAGGATTAGTCAGAGCCTATAAAATCTTTATCTACTTACGATAAATGTGTAATGTATTGCAACTCACACTTCGTCTGTGAGCGATAAATCAAGGATAAAAAAAATTGATTCCGATGACTTATGAACGAAAATGATTTCTTTCTCATCGATAGTAACAAAAAAAAAATATATATATAAAATTTTCGATGCGCACGCATTTATTATATGGTCTCCTCGATATTTCATTCACGATCGATAAATATTGTATTAACACATTATATGATGTTGAATTATTTATATGATTATTGTATCTAAGTTACCTTACTTTAATGTTTTGTTGATCATTTTCGTCCATTATTTTAATCGGAAATTTTCGTAAAATCCAAAAATCCTTTTGTTAAAATTATATCTTTAGATATATATATATATTACACATTTGCTATATTGTTATAATTAATATAAGTTATAGTTATTATGTTTTGCTTCGACTCGAATTGTGTAAATAATGATTTATGATAGTTATGACGATTTAATGATATGTCGTAAAATTATACAACTGCGCTTCGTGATCGGGAAACTGTTAAGATCTTTATGTTTGATCATCGACTGATTATCATTAAGCGTTTTACAAATAAACAATCACATCGTTTGCCTAATAATCGACGAAGTAACGGCAATATATAACGATGTTCCGGCATGCTTGTGAAGCTCTCGTAAATATGCCTTAACTTGCCGTGTCGCATGTTTGCTCGAGATGCGTGCTCGCCCTCTCGTTGTAAGTAGCGCGTCTATCACTGACTAACAAGGACTAACTATAGGTACATATATATAAAATCCTGTAGCTGCAAACCATGGATCTAAGTCAGAGTGACACCGTGATAATATATAACATTCCTATTTTTTTTATAAAATATATATCTTCATAAAAATGTTATAAAATTAATATTACTAAAATTAATATTTTTTTGCCAATCAATATAACAAAAAAGAATAAAGTTAACAAAACATGAACGTCGGTTATTCTATTGCAATATAATAAAGAACACCGAGCGAATTGTTAAGAGGTCTTCCTAGTTTGACACTCTAAAAATAAGACGACTTTTGGGAATTTTTTTTTAAAGAAAAGTATAAAACATATTAATTCTAAACTTTGCACGTTTATTAAATAACATTTCAAGTATATCCTGAATTTTTTTCAAACAAAAATATTTGTTTGTTTCGGAGTTATAGTAGTCCAACTAGGGTGTCTTAAAAAAAAATTGTTGTTTGTGGCGAACATGATTCCAACCGTTATAGTCATCTGAAATAAAAAAACCAAAAAAATTTTTAATTTGTATGAGTGTGACTATCACGTGAACTAGATTTTTTTAAAAAATTTGAAAAATAAAAAAATGGCAGCGTTCCAAAAAAAAAATTTCATTTTTCACCGAAAAATTGGTTAGTTTTGTAAATCGCGAAATTTGAATTTTGCAAATATCGATTTAATTCTAGTTCACACGATAACCACACTCGTACAGATTAAGAATCTTTTTGGTTTTTTTATTTCAGATGACTATAACGGCTGAAATCATGTTCGCCATTTTTTTAGACATCCTGGTTGGACTACTATAACTCTGGAACAAACAAATATTTTTGTTTGAAAAAAAATCAGAATTGAAATATTATTTAATAAACGTGCAAAGTTTAGAATTAATATGTTTTATACTTTTCTTTTAAAAAATTCGCCAAAAATCGCCTTTATTTTCAGAGCGTCAAACTGGAAGGAAGACCCCTTAATACATTTCGAATGATTAGTCTTCTTTCACAAATGAGATAATGCTGTTCTTATAATATAGCAAGCCTTTTATAAGCCGCCTGTAATCTACACGATAGTTACCGTGTCACTATCCCGTTAAGACTTTGTTAGCGTAATAGTATTATACGTATCGCAACTTCTATATATGGTAACGCGCTAATAACATACTGGCTGTATGAGATACACCGCGTACGCGTTAATTAAAATCGCGGAGAACCGGAATTCGAGTCGTTTTCCTCACGGTGTTACTTTGAGCGACGTGTGTTGTTGATTAATCAGCTTGCAACTAATATCGCGAAGATGTACTTACAACCTGGGCGAGGGGAGCATGCACTATCAGCGTGTATTGTACGTGTATATATGTGTTGTAGCTTTAAGATCTACCCGCCGTTCGTATGCACAACATTTATTATAAATATATATATGTAATTTTTTTTTCTTTTATACACCCGGTGCATCTTGCGGCGGTATATCTTATATGCCTGTACATAGAACTATCACCGTCGCCGATACGATGTCATTAACGAATTACGAGGAATGTATGTTGAATAGACGTCATTCTTTTTGGAAAGCATTTGCATTTTGTCGTTTTTTTTCTTTCTCTCTTTTTTCTTTCTTATTATCAATGTGTATCATCATCTGAACTTCTAAGATTGTAAATATTGCACCAAGTCCCGCCATCCGAAGCCTGTTTTTGTCTATTATTTTTCTTTTCATGTATCTTCATATATGTGGCCATATAGTTTTAGAAAAAAAAAATGCACCTCGCGCGCGTGTGGCACTCCCCCTCACTAGTAACTCTCACCCACATATCATAGTTCCATGCTCCATGTACCTGGTGAGTACGTTTTTTTCTTAACTTTGTAGATATTGCGCGCAAGAGTTTGATGTCGACCTCAATCGTGAACAAGAGAAAATTTCTTGTTTATATATAATAACATAATAATTTTGTAAATTTTATATATAATAACAATAATTTTTTTTTAATTTCTAAAATTTATCTGAGAGTCTCTCTTCTCTTCTCTCTCTCTCTCTTCCTCTCTATTTAAAGGCTGTACGATTCATTTTTGACATATTTTTGAACTTATGCAAAAGTCGACATCAAACTCATGTGCTATATCATAATTCGCTCGCGTTTTGTCTACCGCATGCTTGTGTTTGTGACGCTTTTGCAATGTGTTTGCTTTGCTTGGAGATTAATTGCTCACAATTTCGATAATAATCTTTATATCAATATTTATATATATTTATGTACGCGAACGCGTAATTTTGACTTACATTTAATAAAATCTAATTAACATTGAATTGAAATGTTCATAGAGTTCATAAAAATAAAAGATTAATGATTGTGTTAAAATTTACTTTCACGTATCATTATATTTAATATGTAAAAAAATAATAATTTTTTTACATCCACTTGCGCAACTTCTAGTCAATATTACGAACAACATTGTAACGCAGTAAATGAAAAAATATCGTATATAACAAAATGTATTAATTAAAACATACACATAAGCATGATTGAGATCTAACAAGTTTCCAAAAGTGTATCATTTTATTCTCTCTTGCACTACTTAAGAAGAATTTCAAGAAACAATAATACTGAACAATAATACTGAAATCCTGTATCTTATCAATCTTCTATCAAAAAAAAGAAATGCTCGTAACCGGTAAAAGAGATCGCTTGTATCTTACGATCTGCGAGGAACGTAACTATCTTCTTTTAATTGTTGCAGACAACACTTTACTGGCGATACCTTCGGAATCGGTACCGCCGCAAACAATCGTTCAACCGCCGCCCTATATCGCCCCGCCGAAACCCGAGGATCGGCAAAAGTCGCAAAACAGGTATCAAGATATCTTGAAGGACTCGCAGCCGCCAAATCTGCGAGCATATCCCGAGAATGAGAAGCAACCGATCGCGGACCAGAAACAATCCTATACGCAGGAGATATTCGATCCCCATCAAAATGTCCAGCTGTACGACAATCGTAAGAATTTGTTCGATCAGCAGCGGATGTCGAACTATGAATACCAACAAGTCCGCAACTATGAGACGGTGCACATGCACAACGCAAGGAACCAGCAGCTCAGAGACATCGATCAACAGCAGTTTTACACCCTGCCAACGAGGAGGCCTCAACGAGAAGTCGAGCCGCCTCGCAGCGTCACCCCGGACATCACCAGAGGTCTGGGACGCGGTTCTCTCAGCAGCATGCACATGCTGGCAAAACAGGGCCAACAAAGGGTCACGAGTGCGGAGAATGAGCAGAGTCGACGAGGTGGCCACGTGGACGTGGGAAGTAGGAACTTGGAGCAAGCGGAGACGAGAGGCAAATTCGTGCAGAGTCAATCGCAATCGATTGTGGATGTCAGAAATAGGTGAGATTCGGAGAACAAGAATAATCGAATTTTTCATTTAACCCAGTTGCACTCTTAAATCAAATGAAAGTTTGAACCTATACACCAGTAAATTAGGGATGTTATTGATATTAATAATATTCCCAGTAAGCAATTTGATAACAAATTGTTGCCAAATTGGCATCAAATTCGCTCAAAACTTGGACAAGATATAGATATCAATTCATATCAGTGCACGCTCTAACTGTAATTATTTATAAATTGCCTCCTCTATCTTTATATATTGTATAAAAGACTATGTGGGAAAGTAGAGGGATCACACGCCTATCGCAACGACCAAAGCTAAAAGTAATCGACCTTGCTTTAAACGTTTCATTGTTTTACACGCAGGTTCGCAACGCCTCTAAATTTAGCTGCACTTGGCTATCGATTCTCCGCATCTTCGCCCGCTAATGATCCTCTTACGAAATCTCCTAACGCGGACGTTCTACGGAATAATCCAATTTCGCCGATCGGCCACGGCTGTTACAATAACGGCTTCAAATCGTCCACTCCTACCGACCATCACGGGCGATCGGCGCCAACCGTGGCGGAACGTCTAGCTTTAACCGCCACCGCCGGCAATAATTGCTCGTCGCCGACACCGGTGAGTGGTTCCTCGGGTAGAAGCACTCCCGTCCAGACCTCTTCCGGTAGGACGACGCCGACCAATCTGATCCTGTCGCCTACTAAAAGCACTATGTCCAACGAGGAGTTATTCGCCGCGATCCACAAGTCGAAAAAGCGACTCAACATCAGGCTCAACGAGAACGAAAACGATAATCTGTCGCTTTGCGGATCGATGAACTCCCTGGTGAAGACACCGGCTGGTACCAGACACAGCTGGAGCCCGGAATCTCACCAGAAAACTGCTGAGGTAATTACACCGATATTAAAAAACGTGAACTTGAGAAGATAAACGATTCTCAATTTCTAGTTCGAGAGAAAGTTTGCTAATTTATTTAAGTAAATATTTTTGAAGAATCTTATTGGACTCGAAGTGTCTTTGACTTTCTAAAAATCCTATGATTCCATTCGCTACGTAATTCGCTAATTTCACCCAATGTCCGATTTCAGGTACCGACCAACATGCAATCGCCTACGTCACGGATGGACTTCAAACGTTTGCTTCTTCAGCAAAGCGTAAAGACGAGTCCTATGCGACTGTCGGCAGCGGAGCAATTGAAACTGTCGCGCCAACAATGTCAACAACAACAGCAACAATCGTCACCAAACCCTCACCAGAGTCCTCTGGCCAAGATTCTGAGTCCACGCTCGGTCTGGAGGTTTCAAACACCGAGAACCGACGTTCTCTCGTCCACCATAATCGAGGACACCGCAGCGGAAGAGAAAGCTATGAAACCATCGCCGGAGAACACGTCTCCCATCTCAAGACTGAATCTTAGAAGACAATTAGATCTCTGCACTGACCTAGCGAGTCATCTGCGTATCGTCGATCAGGAGAGCAAAGTCGCGAATGTCAACGATAGGCTAATGGCAAGCAAAATGTCTAATGCGAACGAACTCGATCTTGATTCAACAATCAAATTACTGAATCAAAATAACAAAACTCAAGAACTAATCACAAATGCACCTGATGATCTTGCACGAACCGCGTCTCCCGAGAAAATTGCGATAACCGGTCAAGATATTTCGTCCTTGACTTCCCGAAATGACATCAGTACGACGATACAGTATTCGAAGAATTCGCTTGAACCCAAAAATCAGAATCCCGTGAACGCTCTCGAGTCGCGGAGGATCAGCAATCAATTGGCAAGAGCACAGTTCCTAGCTAGCACACCTACTAACACCAATTCGTCGCAGAATTTTTACTTCAGCAAGAGATTCAGAGCGCGATCAGAATCTCCGCAACACGCTGTGACGCAAAACGTTGCAACACGTAGCCCAAGTGCTCCTACTCTCGAAACCGCTTTATGATCCGAAAATACATCGATAATTAGGACAACGGTTTTACGCCAGAATAAGAATATAGCTCTTCATTATTGTGACATATAAACTGTATATATTGGCCCTTTTCTTAATACTTTAAGAAGTCAAATTTTAGTAAATTGGATGTTGCTGAAATGTATATAAAATATTTATATACATATAAGATATTGTTAATTAAAATTAAAATCAATTTAATTTTACTATAATATTACAATTATTTTATCCATTAATGAAGAGTTAATATCAAGGACAAATAGTTTGAACATTTAAATCTGTTTAAGAAAGTTAAAAATGAGCGGTTTAAATCGAATTTTCCTAATTACAACAACTCGCATTTACTAAGAGACAATAATTTATAAACATTATATATGGTAATAAAGCGGGAATTAGTATTACCCAGTATTGCAAGAAACCTCTTGCAAAAGTAGAACATTTAAAGTGCAAAAATATCATAATTCACACTCTGCCAATCGGATATATAAAATATGTTATACAATATATAATATCACATTGCATAATGCATAAAATAATTTCACTCTACACATAAATTTTACATACGTAATTCAATCAAATCATAAGCAATATTCTTAACGCTAATAATCTCAATCGCGTGCCTATTTGATATAATCGTTTTATAAAAAATATATATATTTGCATTGTATATATATAAAAGGATACTATAAATATATTCTCGAATTGAGACGATGCCGTAGATGTTAATACATCGGTATATTTATATGATGTATTCAATATTTTCTCATTCTTTATACTAAATAAGCTTTCTTCAATTTTGTAACGAAGAAAGCAGTTTGATCTTTGCACGATCTCAACATTCACGATCAAAGACCTTTAAACAGTTTAGAGAATTAAGTGAATATATAATCTCATCTCGATATATATTCTTAAATACAAAAAGCAAATAATACTATACTCTTCGCTAGTGATGCACAAGATCTCGCGGAATTTTATCTGCGACACGAAAAAAAACGTGACAAATTTTTTTTGTATTTCTATATAATAAGAAACTCATATAAAACCTATCGTTACCTTTATTCTCTCAAATTAAAATATTATATACAGTATTTTAACCATGTTTGGGTTAATTAATATTATTATATTAATA